AGCGTGAAACAACACGGAAACCTCGCCAAATTGATGCATTTGACGGTCAACTTTGACGCCCCAAATCTCATCTTCAGACCTTTTTTGATATGATCAACTGTCCACTGTGTGATGGTCTGACTTGTTGGGAATACGGGGATACATTTCATGGCCTGTTTTGGTGCACCGTGACTGAACTATGTCATTTTATATATACCATTCAAATGCATCATTTCGGCGCGTAACAAACTCTCAGGCCGCCGCCATCTTTGTCACCTTTGACCTTATTGAGGGACAATTCTTTGTAAAAGGGGAGGGGTGTAAGTTTTCCACACAGTAAAAGTTGCAGTGTAAAACACAGCAAAAGTTGCAGTGTAAAACAGCAAAAGTTGCAGTGTAAAACACAGCAAAAGTTGCAGTGTAAAACACAGCAAAAGTTGCAGTGTAAAACACAGCAAAAGTTGCAGTGTAAAACACCAAAAGTTGCAGTGTTAAACACCAAAAGTTGCAGTGTAAAACACCAAAAGTTGCGGTGTAAAACACCAAAAGTTGCGGTATAAAATTTTGTACTTGTCGGCCACGGTACGACTGTTACCACTGATTGACACAAGTTGATGTTACCCATGTCTCTTCAAATTAAAAATTGCAACCGTGAGTTAATATGTCTGGACAGAAGCAGTTTCTGTATCTAGGCAGTCACAGATGCGTTGGCTAATATTTGAAGTAAACCACTGTGACCATAGCATGTTTAAAACAAGAGATACAAAAACAGGAAATTCCGCAGCTGTACCATGGCAAGCTGCTAGGAAGCCTTTGATCGAACTTATCCTTTGTTTCATCGACACTCAAGTTACCCACATGCCGAATATCATACCAATCCAACTATAGCTTCTCGAGTTATGTTGTTAAACCACAGACAGACTTAACAACTAAAACACAGAACCACAAACGCTACAAAAAAACACAACGTTAAGTAATAATTTACAGCACACAAAAGTGACAGAAAGACTAGGCTTGCTTCCTCGTCGCGCTTCAAGGACATTTCTGGAGGTCAGAGGTCAATCGTTAAACCTGTCAGACAAGTTTCGCCATTGTTTGTAAAAGATACCCCGTAGGTACACAGTTATAAGTGTTGCTGCTTTCGTCATACGGCAGGGGGGTGCAATGTTGTGGTATGTTCTTTATCGCACACACACTGATCAGAAAACTTCACTCCCTGCTTGCTCAGAGTACTCTACAAGTATCACAAGCAGGAGTAAAAGTGGGCCAATGATACCACCGGTTCTGTAATTACAAAATTATAATTAATACTTCACATCGAAGTATTATTTACTCGGATGCCGACGCCGATCCAGAGAGCCCAGCCATGCTGACCAGACTCCGGTTCCTGGCGCGGGTCCTCCTGCTGTTCCTGGTCCTGCTGACCGCCTTCGCCTGGTTACTGCACCCCGTCAGAGTTCTCCCGGATCTGAAGAGCCGACAACAGGTAATAATTGTCTTGACCCCGCTCATAAAGAGATGCTTCTCTAACCTGAAGGCCTTGTAGATTTGCTAAAGGATTCTATTAAATCAGAGAAAGGCGTGAACAGGAAAACTTGCTTCTTCCCACATTATTACTTGATTAAAAAGTGTGAAGAAGCCGAACCTGACATTTACAATGGTGTAGTAATATGGATACTTTATGTATGGTTATGTTTTGTACTCGTGTCTCGCCACCTGTACGTAATTAGTCAATTACTACATAAAGTTACAATAACTAAGGATTTTTCGTATCCACACACACACACACACACACACACACACACACACACACACACACACACGTACGTACATTCGTTGAAATACCTTATTCATTTTTACAAGTGTTCAATGGGTCTCTTTAAAGCGTACACATACAAGATACATTGTACAATCTCCAAACCCAATGACCCGTTTTTAAGGCCATCTTTAGCCCTACTTACAGCCCTTGCATCAAATTTACGATCTATAGGTGTTGTCTGACTACCTAAACCATGTATTCACGATTGTCGTTTGTAGATTGGGATGTCTCTAATCAAAGGCGCGAGCCTCCCTGCTCCAAGTGAGGTCTACAGTGTCGTGCTGTGGACCAGTCACAGACGAGGCGAGGTCGGTGTGTTCCGGATACCGGTCCTCACCTACACGCCCCGCGGGAACCTGGTCGCCATGGTGGAGGGGAGAAAAAACTCAGAGAAGGACGACGTCCCTAAAGTGATTGCTGTTAAGAGATCAACTAATGCCGGTAATTTATTTGAATTCCACGTGCAAACATCATTAAGCAAAGGAAAACTCAACGAAAGTCCCACGAACTGATACCATGTCCAGAGAATTCAAAACTAGATGTTCTACTTCATTATCAAGAAAAGTCACCAGAGTGTCCAAACTCTATAGCTTGTTGAGGCTAGGTATCGTGCTCAACCAAATCCCAACACACATACATACAAACGCTACCAGAAACATAACCTTATAGGCGAAGGTATCTATCTATGTATCAACTGTCTTGACGTGAAATGATTTGAATGAAGTCACTATAAGTCCATTTGTTTCCGCCAGGTGAAACGTGGTCCCCCTCACAGTGGATAGTGGACGACGGAAACACGACTCGTCGGTACTGCTCAAACATAGGAACAATTTTTGTCGACAACGTAACAGAAACTATATTCCTGATGTACATGTACTGTGGCTTCTGCCCTGTGAGATCACTGATGTTGATAAACAGTACGGATGACGGCATCACGTGGGGCCGGCCGAGAAATATCACCGATCAAGTAGGAAAAAATTATGTTGCGCATCCAAGTCCAGGGTATGGCATTCAGGTAAGATCCTTTGTCCAAGCCATTATAGACTAGATAGAACCAATACATTTTGTGTTAAAAATTGATAAAGTGAAAGCTTAATGTTTTATCTTAAATGTGGATCCTTTTTCAGAAAAAGCATAATCCAGCCAAAGGAAGGCTGATTGTGTGCGGACACGGCTTCCATGACGGTCTAGGCTTGGTACTGCTGCTGAGTGATGACCACGGCGTGACGTGGAGACGGGGAGCCTTCGTACCGAGTGTGCCGTTCCGCCGATCCAGGAGGGGGGACTTCGATCCAGACGAGTGCCAGGTATGGGACGAAGAGGGAAGGAAGATTGATAGGAAAATATAGTAGCGTCTCTACGCAGTCATTTCTAATAGCTTTTATTTGCATAATTATGTCAGAAGGCTAATGCATGTAGCCTGGGCTCCATCCGATTTGTAACGGATGGTACCGGCATGTACAGTGTTAAAGAACGTAAAGTAACACAGTAGAAAACATACAACTACTGCCTGATCAACTATAAGACACTACGTTTGCTATTATGGGCTTTGGCTTTAATACTAGTTTGTTACAGTTTGGTCTGTGTACTGTAAGACTTCTCATGTTGCTTAATCCCAACTGGAAGAAAAACTATGACCAACAAGTACCATTACTTCAATCTCAATTCTTGTTGTATGCGATAATCATTGCGTTAAACAACTCTGTGCGGAGTATCTGGGTTTTAACCGTGTTTATTCTCACGATTCAGCCCATTGAACTGCCTGACGGAAGTCTCCGCATCGTGGTGCGAAACGAACACGTCTACAAATGCAACTGTAAGATGATCATGAAGAGTTTTGACGGGGGAGAAACCCTGCCGAAGAAGCACATGTTCCTGGACACACACCTCATCGAGCCCAAAATAACGTCAGGAGTGTGGTACAGCAACGGCGTTCTGTTCTACACAGGACCTAACAATACAAATAATCGTGAGTATATACGTACTTCAAGGATTCCGATCTATATTCTTCTATGTGTTACAATGTTTTCTGGGATTCCTTAGTAAATGTTTGAGTCATACAGCATTGCTTTTGTATTTACATAGTCTAATATGACATGATTTTGCACTATTATAAACCATGTGCATTCATCTCATCTCATCTCTTAGGGCCTTATATTAGTCCTTACGTTGGTCTTTACTTGCCCGAGTTAACATAACACAACTAATAGAGATAACATTACCGTTCTATGTGTTACAGTGTTTCCTGAAATTAGTTAGTATATATTTGAGTCAAACAGCATTGCTTTTGTATATGTATATAGTCTAATATGATCTGGTTTTGTCACAAGACTGTACTATTACATTTGCACTCATTGAGTTAACATAGCATGACCAACAGAGACTCTTTTAACGTGTTTTACAGGCACGGATCTGCAGCTTCGATGGAGCTACAACAACGGTCGTTCCTGGTCCAAAGTGATGAGGATTTGGGAACACAAGGCGAGCTACTCCACCCTGACAATGCTTCCTAACGACGAGGAACATCTCTACATCATGTACGAAAGGGGAACCAAGGACTTCTTTGACGAAATTGCGCTCGTAAAAATGAAAATAAACATGATCTACAGATAATCCTAAAGTTTGAGGAGACCGTCTGGATTTTCTCAGTCTCGTTCCCAGTGTATCTGCATCTTAACCTGGGGACGTTTCAAACGAACTGTTAGTAGTGGCCAAAGTTGGAACAACGTGTTCACTTTTCTCTCAACACTTTAAAGGAAAGGGAAATAATAGAAATAAAGTGACATGTATAGCAATTACCAGTTGTTCCATTATTTGCACAACCACCGGAATCACTAGTACCATACACTGATCATGTTCTTAGTTCAGGTATAACCAAAGATTAAACATGAATAGACAGGATGACCACAAGCTAGATAACTCCGAACAAACGCCACTTCTGTAGGTCCCATACTTCGACATTCTGATATATCTATTTCTACCTAGGGAATGACAGTTATGACGCTATGTGACAATTCTTAGAAAGAACAAGGCCATCACGTATTACATGTGATTCAATATCTAACCATCTTGATATCGGGTGCACTAGTGCCAGCTATCTATTACTTTACCAAGAGATATTAATTGCATTTTTAAATAATTATGGTGCCATTTTAGTCCTTCTCAAAGTTAACTAACGTTACTTCCTGATCCATGATGGTATATATGGGTTGCTATGCAACTTAAAACAAACGCCAGCACACAATGTATACGGATGGGAGGGGACTCAAATCATGTAGGACAGACAGCGTCAATTATGGTAAATCCCCAAAGGGGGAACAAGAACCGACCCACTAATAGGTCACACTGACCTGCATAACAGGTTCGCCAGCAATGTTTTCAGTCCCGACTTATCCACCGGAGTGTTAACAGGGTCTCTGGCCAGGTGGTTAGTCCTTGACTGACAATGTTGTGTTGTGGACAGTGAGACCTGAAGATACTCCCCGAAGTTTACATGGCATAAACCCAACCTGAGGTAAACTATGGTGTCACGACTGGTGTTTGTTCTTCGATCCCTATCTTCGGTTTGATCGGTGATAAGGTTGTTCCTTTGTCTTGAGAGGTCAGAGGTAAAAAAAACAAAACAATTTCCAAAGACCGCCATAACGTTGTACATCGTATGGTGAGGTAACACTGTTTTATTGTAAGTTTAAAAGGGACTAACGCCAGTAGGAAGAGTGCATGATTTACATATTTCTACAGGAACATTTGTACACGAACTCAAAACAGAAGCCTACATTGTAGCTTGTGATTGCTATCAGAATGATGTAGAACTTTTATCGTTTGTTACTGCACAGCAGTACTACAGTCCTCCATGCTCAGCCTCATCTGCAGAAGACTCAGGAGATTCGGTCTCCTTCTCTTCCTTGCTGCCGCAGCTTTAGTATGGTCACAATACCCCAACAAGATCCACAGCATAGAATTATACATAACCAAGGAGGGCCATGATATAACAGAGAGGCCACAGACAGTACGTTTACGCACCCAACAACCCAAGACACCGGCAGAAGAAACGTACACAGACTTCGGCTTGTCAAAGGTAAAGAACGTCTTATATGTGTGTGTTGGTGGTCTAAATTTACTATTTCGGCAAGTAATGTGTGATATGACATAATGCTAACTTATGCTTCTGTATTCAAACCATGTGGCTAATGATATAACATATATAGATACGTGGCATACTCATCCTAAAATGTGTACCAGATACGGACACTACAACTGTGAAATAATTTTAACAGTACTTTCGTATATTTCGTACCTATTAGGTCCAAGACGTTGTTCTATGGAGAAGCTACAGAACAGGCGAAATCCCGGTTTTCAGAGTGCCAGTCCTCACGTACACACCCAGAGGGAACATTCTGGCCGTAGTAGAGGGGAGAAGAAGATCAAAGTTGGACCATGTTCCCAAAGTCGTCGCCTTCAGGAGATCGACGGATGGAGGTGCACAGTAACTTGTCACATAGTTTTAAAAGTCTTTACAAAGCTTAAACGCCCTGTATTGTCAGTAGGGCAGGCACTACGTAACAGCCATCGAATAAGTGGATACGTGACAGTGTGTCGTTCACGACCAAACCAATAAGCTAGAAAGGTAACATTTGCAAAATAAATGCATCATAATGTTTGCCTGCACATGAGAATGGTCTAGCTCAGTAAACTACTGTGCTGTTTATTCTTACTCAAACACATTCATTTATATGGTGACCAGCCCCTCCGTGTTCTGCCACTTGCTACATAATGTAATCCAACACCACTGGGGTTCTGCTACAGCATCGGTTACCATGTTGACAGCCATCTGATCCAGGTCATTGACCTAATTTGTTTGGAGAAGAAGGAGGAACGCAAATTTACACATTAAGTGTGTCATGTGTGGTATTAAACTGTGAACCAAACTTCATATATCTTTTTCCTCCTAAGGAACAACGTGGTCTCCGTCAAAGTGGATAGTTGACGATGGAAATGTTGCCCGTCATAATTGCTCCTACCTGGGAAGTATTTTCGTAGACGACACAACTGCTACCATCTTCCTGATGTACGTGTTTTGTGAGTTCTGCCCTACGAGATCACTGATGTTGATAAACAGTACGGATGACGGCATCACGTGGGGCCGACCGAGAAATATCACCGACCACGTAGGGAAAGACTACGCCACACATCCAAGTCCTGGGTACGGTATTCAGGTAAGGGTAGTAACCACTTAAGTGATATATGCTCAACATGCAGTTAATCACATGTGTACAGTGTACATAACGGCTTTCGTGCCTACTTGAGCACACTTACTGAATCACCAGGAATTATCACACTATACACAATGCATTTTCATGTTTAACCTCGAGGCATCTATATTAGAGATGTCCTTTAACATTGGAATAATATGAAGATGTGTGGGGAGAACCAGAATCATTATGGATATACGCTCTTTATGAGTGTCCATTTTAGTAAAATTCTTTCTCACTCTTTCAAACTATTTTCGTCTTTTCTATATTAGCATATTTCCACCAGAATAGGCCACAAATGAGTCAGTGTTCCCCAAATCGTTTAGGCAAATCATTCTATAGCAGTTTTTCCCCACAGAAAAAGCACAACCCCTCAAAAGGACGGCTGATAGTGTGCGGACACGGTTTCCACGATGGTAAAGGCTTGGTGCTGCTGCTGAGTGATGACCACGGCGTGACGTGGAGACGGGGAGCCTTCGTACCGAGTGTGCCGTTCCAAGACAACACAGACGGAAACTTCAATCCGGACGAATGCCAGGTATGTACATCGCTACATAGCGCACGGCTGTGTGGAATGTTAACCCCGCAAGTGCCGCGTTATTATGCTGAAATGCGTGTAAATAGAATTTGCATCTGTGTTGAAAGCCCGATGGTTTGTGTCCGAACAAGGAGGTTTAATTTTTTTTTTTAATTTCTCACCTCCTTGGTCAGAATCGCCGCGATAAGAGGCATCAGACACCTTATATATAGGCCCCTCATTGTGAGTTCACAGTTAATGATGGTGCACAATGTACACAATGGCTTTCGTATCCAAGGAACCGCGGCTACTATATTGAACACACTGCAACTTGACTCATGGTCAAAACTACATTGTTTGTTTGTTTGTTTGTTTGTTTGTTTGCGCCTTTATTTATTGATGAAAATACACAATTCGGCCAACAGGCCGCTTTTCATTGTGGTCATCATGCAGGGGAGAGGTTCAAGGGTCAACAAATTCCTACAAAACACATAATGTATACATCAGACTTGGATACATGATTCAGAGTCTTAATAAATCTAAACAAATATTCATCATAACATGGTACAACTTATATACATACATAATTAAGTAAATACATAGACGTCAAAGCAGGTAAGTAGTTCTTATCCGTTCGTTTTTCATTCCTGGTTTATACCTCTTTAAGAGTCTCTTAAAGGAAGCGAGGGTTGGGGCCGTGCGTATGTCCACTGGAAGACTGTTCCAGGCAGTGGGTCCGCGGTAGGCTAGGGATCTTCTAAAGCTCTCTAGATGAGGTTTAGGAACAACTAGTTTATTGCTTGTGCTTTGTCTAGTTGACCTTGTGCTTTCGCGCTACAGTCCGCGTAGGGAATTGTGGGGAAGTTGTGAATGTCAACCAAATGTAAAACGCACATTAACTACGTGTACGCGCCCCGCAAAATGCAATTGTACTGTTCCGTACTAAAACTTTAGTAGCATTCTATGAATACCAATTCTCGTTGACTTCCTATTATACAAACATAAAATCAGACGAGACTAGGGTAAAAAGTATTGTGTGGCTTACCGAGATGTTAAAAAGGTTGACCTTGAAAGCCTTTGAAGGAGGTTGAATACTTTTCTCTGTAACCAGTGTTGTGTTGTTCGCCACTGATGTCTTGGGGCACCACCGCCATTTTGAATTTGACGCGTAACTTGGAACGCCGATTTTGATTGGTTGCTTGATTAGCCTTTCTCTCATTGGTCAGTCCCCATCCAATAGGAATTGATGACAAAAACTTCTACACGTATTCACTTCACATGGAACTGAATTAATGACTGGATGGCTGGGGGTGAAGTTTGCCAACTCCGATTGTTTTCTTTAGTTTAAATGAATGCATTTCCTTCACTTTTCCCCAGCCGGTGGAGCTACCAGACGGAAGTCTGTACTTGGTTGTCCGGAATCAGCACCAGTACAAGTGCCACTGTAAAATCATCATGCGTAGCCTGGACGGCGGTGAGACGTTACCGCGGGAACACATGTTCCTGGACCGGGCTCTGGTCGAACCCAGGATAACGTCCGGAGTGTGGTATCACCGCGGAGTTCTGTTCTACTCCGGACCAAACCGGCCGCTGGCACGTAGGTGCTCCTAATTTCCAAGCAGATCCTAGGGTAGCAAAAGACAGTTTCAAATTGGCCAGGCATGCAGTATTCCTTGGCCAATGGATACTGTCTTTTGCCACCCTAGGATCTGCTTGGAGATAAATACTATGGCTTAGCTTGTAACGAATGTCTATGCTGTTTGGTCTTTTGAAAACGTTAAGATGTTTGTTCATACCGTATCGTGTGGCTCAAAAGACATCTCAAGCTCTCGCATGCATATATGGGAGCTAGATCAGAACCATACGATTGCAAGGTTTCTGTTACAGTGAGGAAAATAGTTTACTTGTGTTATGATATTTGGAGTTAGCCGTAGGAGATAACGATCCTTAATAATATTTTATAACATGTTAGGTAGTTCTCTCTTGCTGTGACATGTTAACACAAACTTTGGAGTCTATTGCATTCTTGACAAACGTGAAGAACTGCGTATAACGTGTGTGCCGCGGCGGAATTGTAACGCTAAACAACACTGCCATACTGTTTCACTCTACAGGAGAAGACCTATACCTCCGTTGGAGCTACAACCATGGACACACGTGGACGAAAGGCCTGCAGATTTGGGGACATCTAGCTGGATATTCAGTTCTAACGATGGTCCCGGACGACGAGGAACACATCTACATGATCTACGAAAGAGGAACAGTGAAATACTTTGACGAAATCGCTATCGTTAAGTTGAGATTATCCATGATGACAAGAAATGATACCTCATCACAGGGAGATGTCAGCCCACAAAAACTGGTTTCACCAAGAACTTCAGATCCGGGACGGAGTTAGACATGAAAGTAGCTGTAGGATTTCCACTTAAAATTGGCTAAGAATGACGCGTGTTCGCCTGTGTCACTGGATTGGCTAACTTAGAGATGTGTGTACGAATAATAAATCGGGTAAACTGGAGGAAAAAATGAAATAAAGTGAAATAAAGTACGCATCAATGCACTTTTATTGGAATAACGTTGTCGGTGCGTGACATTGAAACTGAGTGGAGCCAATCACATACTGGTGGAACATTCATCGACACATAGTTTATATATACATGCATATGTGACTATATAAATAAATGGTTTATGGTCGTGATATACAATATATATCTATATTTCTTTAAGTATATACTTCTAACTAACATTTCCAAATGATACTTATTGACCATTTGTAATCTGTTATACAGTTTTACGTATTACACCCTGTACCATATCATTTGATTTTATATCATTGTCACTATGTGTTTATCTAAAATTCATCTGAAGTGCTAGTGAGACCTTACTGGTTGGCATAAGTTGGCTCGTTTTCTGGCTGCACGTCTTCATACAGATTGTCGGCGTTATCACGAGTCATGAAGGGCGTCTCCGCTATGTTCCTACCTGCACCCGCGTTAACGTACTGCGCCGGAGAACAGTTCTCGTACGCAGCACCTCCTCCCGGGTCCGCCATTTCGTACAACCCGTCCGCAGTCTCGCCCTGCTGGGCACGGGGGAGGGTCGCAGCTCGGTCACGTTGACGTAAGGCACTCTCTGTGCACGCCCTGGGACGTTAACGTTTTGGTACGTACGTTCAGCGCCGTCTGGTTGGTTCCTTTGATTCAGCTGACCGGTGTCGTTGTCAGGTCTGCCCTTCGTCTCGTCCAGGAGGCTGGTGTAGGTGTTGTTGTCAGGTCTCTCCTTGGTCTCTTCTAGGAGGTCCATGTATGTTTCGTCGTCAGGTGGTGGCAGTGGGTACCCCTTACTCCTCTTGTCGGTCTCCGGTAGCAAGTCTATGTACGTGTTGTCATCAGGAGTCGGCAGTGGATCTCTCTGGTTCCTCTTGTGGGTCGGTGCATCCCTCGGCTCCTCCAGGAGGTTGGCGTAGGTGTCGTTGTCAGGTATCGGTAGAGGGTCGTCCTGTTTCCTGGCCGGTCTTCTCCTCCTACCAGGCGTCACCGGCGGACCGGAGGTAGGTAGCGGAGGCGGGCCTCCCCGACTCCTGGTACCGGCCGAGTTCTCCCCCAGAAGATTCGGGAAGGTGCTTCCTTCTGGGTCCTCACGCTCGGTGGAAGTTGCTGCATCATCGTTGTTAAAGATGATTCCCCGTTTCTTAAGAATAATGAAGGCAGCACCCGCTGCCAGTAGGATGAGAGCGAGGACTCCTACCACACACCCGGCCACAAGGCCAGCCGAAGGTCCGCCGGAACTAGATTCCACTATCGGCGGTATCGGCGAAGAAGACGTGGCCTGTCCTAGCCCTGTATGACAGTCAAAAACGTAACGCCATGAACTAAATACTTTTCACTTCTCAGCTGCAAATCTTCTTCTTCTTCTCAACGTAAAGATAGCAAACAATTATGCTATTTCTGTAAAGTTTACTCCGGAGGATATGCAAGGAAATAATGACAACTTAGTTACTTGCCAAGTTTAGCATGGTTCGTTAAACCGTTACACCGATAAACGATAAAGAAAATACCTGAAGATGTTGTCAGACTTGGTGCCACCGAAGATGCCTCTGGACTTCCCTCGTAAATGAAGATGCCCCCTGTAGTAGTGACGTCAGTGGTCGGTGGCGTCGCCTCCATGTTTGAGATCTGTGAACAGATGTAAGCAGCATAAATGGCGTTATAAATGTGTCAAGCACGTGCAGTTACGTACATTTGTAGCATGGATGTATACTACTGTCTTTCCCTACTATTTTCCTCTAATAGTTACTGCAGTACTTTGATAAATAGTCTTATAATTTCCAAATCAAATGCATAATGTTTACCTGATCTAACCCAACATACTACTGCACTGTTTATTCTTACTCAAAGATACATTCATATGTATGGTGAGCAGGCTCACCAACTGTGTTCTGCTATACATTCATGTAACCCACAGGTTACAATGGTGACAGACTTCTGGTTATTTGTTTGTTTGGAGAAGAAGAAGAGGAAGAGGAAGAAAATGTTTTCCTTCTGGGAAGGTAGACATAATGAAGGCATTTTAGGGTTTGTGGAAAGTAGTTAATACTGTCATCAGGGCAATGAAGTATCCAGAATTTCCCCATCAACACCCTTCGGCTGAGAATTTTGGTTTGCAACTGATAATAGATATCTACAATCTCAAATACTCGCTCCCTTGGAACCTGGTACACTAGATAGTGTGGCACGTACGCTACAATAACAAGATGCATAATATATACATGTATGCTTTCATTTTCAAATGTTTAGGTCTTAGCCTTGTTTTAAAAACAGGCAGACATTTGCATCAGAAGTGAATAGACAACTTACAAATCATTTTCCATCATATTTAGACAGACAGAAAATTTCCATCTGTCAAAAGATTATGGAAAATGATTCGTCGTCGCAACTTGTGTTGTCTATCACCATGCAATTCATCCTAGCATCTGCTCAGAGTTACGAGTACACGTTGTAAGTCTACTTAAAAGTGTTTTTTTTTATTTACCAGTAGACCATAGTCATGACGGTAAATTTTTTTCAGGTGGTCCTGGACAGATTAATAAAATCTGGAAGACTGCCTTTAGAAGAGTAAGAAATTTCAAACCTGATCTTTGTATAGATAACGCTTTAAACAAAAGCTTATATTTGCATTACAACTTACTAAACCAGGACTTCCACCTCTCAGAGGATTATGGGTAACCATGCCTTATAATCATCAGTGTGACTTGCGTTGTCTATCCCAACCCAGCTCATTCTGCAGTTGCTCAGGCTGAAGAAAGCTGGTCCTATAAGGTACTAGTACGTGTTTTCATTTGCTTATCTTTTTTTATACTAATTTACTGTTGTTTTTACTATAGTTCCTGTTATTGATAACAAATTACAAAATATAAATTATTAGTATATATTAGGAGGCATTTTGTCGGTCTTGTAAGACCATGAAAATACTTCTTCTACACCAAGTACTCATTCCTTGTTTTACGCTTAGAGCGTCTGAGTTCTGATGCGAGTCTCTGTTTTTGCCCCCCCCCGTGTAAGCCCCTCTTAACTTCCTTTCTCCAAAGCGTTCTGTTTATTGCTAGTGACTCCAATGTGTTAACGTCTATGTCCATGTCTTTCATGTCCCGTTTGACTACATCCTTAAAACGCAGGTGAGGATGACCACGTGCTTTTGTTCCGTTGGCAAGTTCACTATATAGCAGGTCCTTTGGAATTCTCCCTTTGCAATTGCAATGATTAACTATATAACACAATGTGCTTCTCATAATACAGTGTGTGTGTGTGTTTTGCCAAAACATTGGAAGGTAAAAACCTTCTGCAAGATTGAATTTAAGGTTCATCATTCCTGTAGGACTAATGAAGAATGAATTAGCAGACTTTTGTTCACTGATTTCCATTGTAAGTGTATTTTCTGGCAGTCTTTTATGTATTCTGTTAAATTCATGATTACACCGGTGCCCTTACGGTGGTCGAAATCGGCACCACATGTATGTTAAAAAGTACTAAGCACAAACCCACAGGTGTCGTGGGGTGTTCAGGTGGGCAGACAATTTCTCAGGAAAGGGGTCCCACAGGGCCACACCCAAAATGGCATCAACACGGAATTAAAACTATCCAGCATGGCCCCCTTTTGCAATCGTAACCCCATAGAAGTATGAAGTATCATGAAAAATATATTTGGACACTGAAAATCAAAGAATGGACATCTTTGCCAAAATGAATTATTCTAAATATGTTTGGTTACACAACGTTATGCATGAGCTTACGATTTCTGGTAATAATTTCTGAATTATAGCTCCTTGGGTAACCAAACTGGTCCTTCTACATTTTTAAATGTACAGGCTTCAGATAAGGCTTAATTGGTGTAAAGGCCTTATATGGGCAGATTCCCATCTCTGACTAGACAATACAGAATAAAAAAGAAATAACTTTTATGAAATGGTTGTTACAAACTACTAGTACATGCACAGAACATATTTTTTTTTACACAGCCTATTGTCAGGAAGTTTTAACGCAAATTCTGTAAATTATCCATACTCCTACAGTCCTATCATGGAATGCATCTGGTTTATAGAATTTCCCCATAAATTATGCAAATTACATCCATATTTGCATAATTAGCACATAATTACATCATGCATCACGACGATCCGTCAACCGGTTCTTGAGTTATCCTCTTTTGAATATTTTCAAACAGATAGCCATGGAGTTCTGGAGCAAGCCGCTAGGGAGCCTAAACTCACGTCGCTTCTTCCCCAGCACAAGAGCTACCGACCATCCAAATTTCGTCACCCTAGCATGTCTAGATCATGAGAAATCAAAACCGAAAGTTCAGCTGCAGTACCATAACAAGCCGCTAGGGGGTCCAAAATGTAATCATTTTGAGGTCTCGTCAAGACCTACCCACCTACCAAGTATTAAAACAATCCATTTAAGCCTTCTCAAGATATACCGTGTTTACAGACAGACAGACAGACAGACACACACACACACACACACACACACACACATATATATATACACGAACGCCCCTGAAAACCCTGAATACCCTTCTTGGCGAAGGTATAAGAGAGTGCCCTAGAGCGAATTCTTGAAGTCTGAATAACAACGTCACATAGCCTACCCTTCGGTCAAAATGGACGAAAACAAACTTCAAGTACATAGTCCTAAAATTGATCCTATCTAAGAGGGAACAAGATTATATGCACCTCAGGGGGGAGGAACAAGAAGTTTAATTAACCTCACACTCTTAAGTTGATATTCCGTTCAGCGAAAAACAACCCACCGCTGTCTTTTGTAAGCCAACGATAATTACTGTATTTGACCCCTAGACAAAAAAGGGGTACAAGCTTTTATTCTCATGATCACAAACAAAAAACCGTATACTTAAGGTGAGACAAGCCACGAAGAATCAGGCAAGAAGCTCAACATACATCGTAAAGAAAAATAATTCTAACCGCCCTTCACTCATGCTCGTTTTGGATGATTTTCCTATTCGTATGATTTGCCGGGACAAAAGTTATGGTCAAGGTCATCTTCAGAAACTAGTAAAACAATGCGATACGCTTGACGTTACCTACTAGTATTATGTTGGAACAAAGATTTATCTCTGTAACGTTGCTATTTTGACTGCCAACACAGACGAACTTACAAGCTAAAATACGGCCAATATCGTATAAGGAAACGCTCGCAAAAGTTCTACTATCTACAGTCAAGTCAATCTTGAAGCGTGTCCCGTGAACAAAAAACATGCCATAAGCATATATATATATAGAGAGAGCGACTCCTGGCCATGGCCAGATACGTACCTTTCGAAGAATGAACCGTTGCTGACTTCAGTGAAGGATAAGAAGTGTTTCTGGTCACGGCTCCCTCTGAACTGTCATGGCGACGATGTGCAAACATCAAAATGCGTGCCTACTTCCTGTTCGACTGCTCTTGAAATCATTTGTGTGGATAGGTCATCGGTCAATACTTAAATGAGATCATAATTGGGGGGGGGGGGTTCTCAGAACTAACATGTAAGATAAAAACTTTAGCCTACGTGTTACACAATCTCAAGCTGCCAGAGGCTGATGTTGCCTTCTACCCAGTAGAAGAGCTGCTAGAACCGTGATACTGCTGAGCAAATCATAACTTAAAACTTTGTCCTGCTCGCATTTTTTACACAACATTTTCAAATGATTTGATTTCTTGATCAGGTCACAGACCTTTGGATTGTTTTTTGCCCTGCGGTGGCGTAGTTACTTCTGCATTCCTTTCGTTTCGCTGTTTTGTGATGCGCGGCACGATAAATACCCCCAAATCCTCCATATTCAGGTGCTATTTAGATGGTACTGTATCATGTGCAACCCATCGTGTGCAACCTGTATCATCGTGTTCAATCTGTATCATGTGCAACCCATATATATATATATATATATATATATATATATATATGTGTGTGTGTGTGTGTGTGTGTGTGTGTGTGTGTGTGTGTGTGTGTGTGTTTATATATGGGCTCCGCAGGACGAGGGTTATATTTTCACACTGATATCACGAATAGAAAAGTAAGATACGGGCAAATCTTAGTACAGTATCATGTATCCTTTGCGAGTGGCGCTTGGAATAGTAGAGTCCATGGCCACTTCTAGATATCTAGATAATAAGAGGTCTTCTATGCTAATCTCAAAGCAGATCCCTTTCGGTGGCAAGGCAGTATCCATTAGCCAGAGGAATTCCGCGAATCTAAATAGTACCGCTGAAATTTGTAGACTTACAGTACTTCTCTAGGATATAAGTAAAGGCCTGAGTAATTTTGTTTTTTAGATGACGGAGTTCGCCAAAAATTGCCTGGCCGTTCACAACGAGCTTCGCGCCAAGCACGGCGCCCCCGCCCTGAAACTGAGCGACAAGCTGACGGAGCACGCTCAGAAGTGGGCGGAGCACCTGGCCAGTCTCGGCCAGCTGCAGCACAGCCACGGGAGCGGGTACGGAGAGAACATCGCCGTAACGTACGGGCCGAATGGAGGCGCCGATAAGCCAGGTAAAGCCCCTGTTACACATAACCGAACATGGCCGCCCGGAAATATCTCCCCCCACAGCTGTGAACTCCTAGCCTGGTATCCAGCCTTGTTAGCTTTAGTCCGCTACCCAAGATCCGCTCCCCGCGGATCTTGGGTAGCGGACCCTGGGACTAAAGCTAACAAGGCTGGATACCAGTCTAGCGAACTCCCCCTAACCATTGATTAGGAGCAGGTCGGGAGCTGGTGTACGTACGGCCACCCTAATGCTGAAATTTCGATATGTTAAAACAATCGGGTTGACGGGAGGTTCAGCCATGGTTGGTTGGTGGTTGGTGGTTGGCCGGCGGAAATAGGTTGGGATGTGGTTGCCAGTGAAATTTGACTTGAGTTTAACTCAAATTCCATTCAATATATTCGTATTAAGATAAATCTGGTCAGACTGCTCCCGAACCGTCAACCAAACTTCGTCGGCTGTTGTTTGGGGGAAGGTTCTGAATGTGTGACTTCACGTGTCTTCATAAAGCATTCTCTGTGGACAGTCTGCCACGTTTGATAACTGAAGGTTCAGTCTCTCTTTTTGAACCTCCTTGGTCTCTGTCGCTCCACAGCCCGCTACTTCGTGGAGCAGTGGTACAACGAGGTGGAGAGGTACGACTTCGGAGACAAGAGTGGCAACTTCGGCCAGTCCAGCACAGGTCTCAGCTCTTTCGCTAATTTCGAATTTTAAAGAGTATCTACATACACAGTAAAACGTTGAACTATGTTCCAACACACAATTGTACAGGGATCAAATTTTCAGCGACCACTGTCACCTTCATCAGGATGATTAATGACCAATCACTTCACAACGTGAAGTTCAACGTTTTACTATGATTACTACCAACCAAGGTGAACTTTCATGATAATCAGAGTATCTACATACGTTTCCCAGTTTTAGACATCTGATAGAAAAATTCGTATTCCCTATATATGGAAATAGACAAACCATGTGTTACAAGCGCCATATGTTCACACATCTACAACTGCCGTAAGAAGCGAGAAGTTGAACACAGTAGGTCACATTAGTCTGTAAAGTTATGAAATAGGATATCATGTAATTCTACTTGGCTTTTTATCTATACTTAGCATATAAGAGCATAAACGTACACAAAAGGTCTTTCATGAATATATATATCAATACCATTGCCATCATCGCCGCATCATTAGTAACATCCCAGTTTCCACACTCTGGTCCCACTGCAGGCCACTTCTCGCAGGTTGTGTGGAAGGAGACTGAGGAGCTAGGCGTGGGCATGGCTAAGAGAGAGAATTCGAATGGCATGACTAAGTATATGATGGTGTGCAACTACAGCCCGCCCGGTAACATGCTGGGGGCCTTCCGCGACAACGTGCAGGCCGAAAATTAGAGGAAACAACTCGCCAATCACTGCAGTAGTCTCCATCAGACTTCTTGGGATCACGTACATAGCAAGTAGCCTCCCTAACAGCCATCGACTAGCGTTACGTTTCGACTAGCGTTAACAGTCGTCGACTAGTATCTCTTTGACACTTTTGCAAACTTAAGTATAAGCTAGGCTATAGCTAGCCTCCCTCTGTTTTCAAATTGACTACAATACAATTACAAGCGGTACCTGTAACGGTGTTGTGTGTATTTCCAGACAACATTGACTATTCCACAGAGTCCGATGGAGACTAACCTCTGGTTGGATCCGGAGATTAACAGAACAGATTAACAGAACTAAAAGCATCATCTGTTATCATCTGGTGGTATGTAAGGAGACACTTTGTCGCTTGTCTTATGATAACGTAGTATAGAAATCGACAATACTTGTGAAGAACAATCAAAATTTCACTACGTAGGATACAATCAAAACTTCTTCGTCATGCTGGAGACAGTTCAATGGTATCATAACCACATGTTCCTCTTACAGTGTAACATACACTCGGTACTTTTATTTGTACCATCGGAATTGCAATAACAATGAACAACCAACTTTATTGCCAACTTTGCTCTTTTCTGAAATACAAGTATATGTCGATTACATTTGTCTTGTTGTGTCTGACTGTTGTCTAAAAGTCTATATGTAGAACGCTGTCAACATACGAAATGAAAAAAAAATGAAGGCATTGAGAGAAATATCATTGCTCACCCGTGATATGCTAATTCTTCTGAAATCACAATGTCAAGATGCCAGGGGCTGATTTTACCTCCTACCCAGTAGATGGGATGCTAGAAGCGTAATGCTACTGAGCAAATCATAACTTATATTTTCACACTGATATCACAAAAGCATAAAACATTTTCGTCTTTTCCTGAATTGATTTCGGCACTCTATGACATTAGTATCATTTTCTCATACTTTTTTTGCAACATACGACATATATTCGCTCATTTTGCAGGATTTACCGTATTGTCGAAAACTTTTGGAAATAGACGAAAATTGATGCGCGCGCGGATGTCATCCATATAATCAATGCCATTGTTGTGTTGGAATGTTCCACTTTTTTTAAAACATTACTGACCAAACCGTGAGACAAGACATATAAGGATTGTTCTTAATTAATTTATCACTCCTTTAAGTTCAGACTGAAGACGTGTTGTAAATTTGAAAGACTTTTGATCCTAGAACATTGTTTTTACAAGAGCAGAACAGAACTACAGAGAAAATAAAACCTCATTGGGGAAACACGGCAAGTTGGTCACACACCTTTCTGTAAGTGCAGTGAACCGGCCTTACATAATCCACCTGCCCTATATATAGCTACCTGTCAAAGGTGAGAGGATAAGTTTGTCTACGTGGACAATATGGCACGTTTTGGATGCTCCGTTGTCCTGGTCTGTGTGTCGGTCATGTGTGGGATCCTTGGGGTGGACTCTCAACAAAAGGTAGGTTCATCAATTAAGTTCAGATATTCAAACGTTTCTTTGTTTTAACCGATGTTTTGTAGGAGGCGACAGGTGTGATTTTCACATTTTCACCCCTTCGTTGGAACACCGACTTTTTTTTATTCCAACATGTAATCACCAGACGTGGTGACGACACACTCAAGTTATATCAACTTATATTAACTTAATTTATACTTATATCAACTTATTAATGCCGCCACGAGACGTTGGAGAAACCTGGGTGAAATACATGATAGGACAATACTCATTTTCACCTGAGCGAAGTGAGGAAAGTCGTGTAAAGTGCCTTTACCAAGGGCACAAGATCGGTGGCATGTCAGGACTCGGTCCCGGGACCTCTAGGTTCCGAGTCGCGCACTCTGCCGCTACGCCACAGGACCCGACTTCGAGACGGCCTACAGCTTTCCCGCACTACATGCTACCGTTACATTCCAGTAACTACACCCGAGAAAAAAGTCTCCTTAGATTTTGTCCTTCACAGCGTGTTGTGCCAATGACCATTTCTGGCGGCAGCCCAACAATCAAAATTTTAGTCTGGTACAACGGGTGGGCAACAATTGGGATTCGAACTCCCAACCTCTTGTACTGAGGCAGGGTCGATAACCACAGGACTACGCACGCTTACATAACAGACATGTTCTGTGCAGTACAGGTCGAACTGAGTATCTGTTTTCCCGTCTGAAGAACTCGGGAAGGATGTTTATATGTTTTATTACCACTTTTCTTTAATTGCCACTTTTATAGCCTTTCAGGAATACAATATGACAGATTGACAAGACAAGGATACACCCCAACGTTGGTACACAGACATTATACAATAAACCCGGCCCGTCAATATATGAGTAATCTTACAATTTACGGATATGTCGTATTTTGTCAACATTTGGGTCGTTTTCACGGCACAAAGGCAGGCTACGCCGCCCGTCTCTCTGCATAACACTACCGGGACACGCGATGTGTGAAAAAGCGACACCAGTGAGCTGATGAAGTTCTCAGAATTTCAACAGTGGGATGTAGTTCAAGTAAGGACAAATGACACCTTTGTCGGGAAGGGTATTTTTAATTCTACATTCCTATAGCTAGGTGCCACCAGTATGCATGTGTACTGTATACATGTGTACTGTGTATTACTAATTGTAGTACACAGTACACATGTATACAGTATACAATACTGGTGGCACATAGGAATGTAGAATTATCAATAATCGGTTGGTACTGGAACGGTGTCTTTCCCATCTTCCCAAGAAGGTTACGTTTTCAGAGGCGTTCGTGTATGCGTGTGTGTGTCTGTGGACACGATAACTTGAGAAGACTTAAATGGATTGTCTTGATACTTGGTAGGTGGTTAGGTCTTAATGAGACCTCGAAATTATTAGATTTTGGACCCCCTAGCGGCTTGTTATGGTACTGCAGCTGAACTTCCGTTTTTGATATCATGCTAGGGTGACGGTTGGATGGTAGGTAGCTTTTGTGCTTGCTCTGGAACTGCAGGGCCATCTGAAAATATTCAAAAGAGGATAACTCAAGAACCGGTTGACGGATCGTCGTAATTTTTGGTATGTAGGTAGCTTACTTGATGATTGATAAAATTATGTGACAATTATTCACATATGATGTAATTTGCATAATTTAGGGGAAATTCTATAAATCAGCTGCATGATGAATTAATATAATTCATGAGAATGAGGATCCTATTTGCACAGTCAGGGGAAATAATCTACAAATTGTCAATTAAAAAGATTAACATCATTTTGCGAAGGTATGAGGTCGGGGAACTCATTGAACATACTACCTACAGTCTTTAGATTGATAGTAAAGACGTTGATGCTGTTCACATCAGAAGTTGACACGCCAGTCAGTTGATTTTTACGTACTTCTCTCGAATATGAGTAAGTAAAGCCTGAGTAATTTGGTTTTCTAGGTGACGGAGTTTGCCAAGAATTGCCTGGCCGCTCACAACGAGCTTCGCGCCAAGCACGGCGCCCCCGCCCTGAAGCTGAGCGACAAGCTGACGGAGCACGCTCAGAAGTGGGCGGAGTACCTGGCCAGTATCGGCAAGCTGCAGCACAGCCAGGGGAGCGGGTACGGGGAGAACATCGCCATGTATGCGCAGTGGGGTCTTGGAAGCGCCGATAAGCCAGGTAAAGCTACTCTCCAAGCAGAGGTTGTGGGGGAATAATCGTTACCTTTTTATATATATGGCCCGATTTTTTTTGTCCTGATCCCCACCGTCGGTGGCCGCGGAGCTTCTCTGGCTAATGGATACTGCCTGGTCAATTTGATACTGTCTTTTTGCCACCGAGAAGGATCTGCTTGGAGATTAAGGTAAAGCCCTTGTTACACATAACCGACCATGGCCGCCCGAACACTAGCCGAACTCTGGTATACGTACGGCCACCCGAATGTTTAATTTCGATATGTTAAAACATTCCGGTGTTGAGGGCAGGTTAGGCCATGGTTGGTTGGTGTTCGGAAATAGGTTGGAGTGTGGTTGGCAGTGAAATTTGACTCAAGTGTAACTCAAATTCAATTCAATTCGTATTAAAATGAATCTGGTCAGACTGCTCCCGAACCGTCAACCAAACTGTTGTTAGGTTCTGAATGTGTGACTTCACGTGTCTTACCTGTCAGTCATAAAGCATTCTCTGGGAACAGTCTGCCACGTTTGATCACTGAAGGTTCAGTCTCTGTCGCTCCACAGCCCGCTACTTCGTGGAGCAGTGGTACAGCGAGGTGGACAGGTACGACTTCGCCAAGAGCACCTACCAGCCCGGCACAGGTCTCAGCTCTTTCGTTAATTTCGAAGTATAAAGAGTATCTACATACATAGTAAAACGTTGAACTATGTTCCAACACACAATTGTACGGGGATCAAATTTTCAGCGACCACTGTCGCCTTCATCAGGATAATTAATGGCCAATCACTTCACAACGTGATCTCGTGAGAGTTACGGTTACAAACACTTGGCCTTATTCACACGAGACTTTATTGATACGTGACGTGAGCAATTGACCAAGAGTGCCAGGTAGTTTATATCGTCCACCATCTCTATTAGGTGAAGGCTGAAGTGCTGAAGTGAATAAAGGCGAAAAGATCTTTCATGAATATATATATCAATACCATTGCCATCATCGCACCATATCAGTAACGTCCCCGTTTCCAAACTCTGGTTCTACTGCAGGCCACTTCTCGCAGGTTGTGTGGAAGGGGAGTAAGGAGCTAGGCGTGGGCACGGCTAAGAGAGAGAATTGGATGGGCATGACTCTGTATGTGACGGTGTGCAACTACAGCCCGCGCGGTAACATGCTGGGGGCCTTCCGCGACAACGTGCAGACCGAAAATTAGAGGAAACAACTCGCCAACCACTACAGTAGTCTCCATCAGACTTCTTGGGATCACGTACATAGCAAGTAGCCTCCCTAACAGCCATCCACTAGCGTTTCGACTAGCGTTAACAGTCTTCGACTATTGTCTCCCAAAGTTTAACATTGCCACTTTTGTAAACGTAAGTATAAGCTAGGCTACTAGCCTCCCTCTGTTTTCAAAACAACAAATTCAGTACAATACAATTACATGCGGTACCTGTAACGGTGCTGTGTGTATTTCTAGACAACATTGACTATTCCACAGAGTACGATGGAGACTAACCTCTGGTTGGAGATTAACAGAACAGTTATATATTATCAGCTACGTTATTCTGTATCGCTTGCGCGTGCCAGTACTAAAATAGTAGCATTATCTGTTATAAGGAATCTGGTGGTATGTAAGGAGACACTTTGTCGCTTGTCTTATGATAACGTAGTATAGAAATCGACAATACTTTTGAAGAACAATCAAAATTTCACTACGTAGGATACAATCAAAACTTCTTCGTCATGCTGGAGACAGTTCAATGGTATCATAACCACATGTTCTTCTTCCAGTGTTCTTCTTCGGTACTTTTATTTGTACTATCAGAATGGTAATAACAATGAACAACAAACTTTATTGCCAACTTTGGTCTTTTCTGAAATACATGTATATGTCGATTTAATACATTTGTCTTGCTGTGTCTGACTGTTGTCCAAAAGTCTATATGTAGAATGCTTTCAAGATACGAAATTAAATAATGAAGGCATTGAGAGAAATATCATTGCTCACCCGTGATATGCTAATTCTTCTGAAATATCACCGACTGTGTTACACAATCTCAAGCTGCCAGGGGCTGCTACCCAGTAGACGGGCTGCTTGAAGCGTGATGCTGCTGAGCAAATATAACTTATATTATCACACTGATATCACGAATGGAAACATAAGCATGAAAAGGGCAAATTCCAGTAATCATATCTCCTTTCTCGCAAACTTTGCGAGTTGCACTTTGAATAGTAGAGTCCACATCTAGATATCTAGATTATGAGAGGTCTTGTATGCGGTGTAGTGGTATACTTGTAAAACAGTACCATGGCCAGTTCTATATCTCTGTGTAGATTTTGTCTCCCCCCTATAGTTGTACTATCGCCAGTGCTATCTCCTGTTTGAATTTTTCCTCTCCCCTCACATACAGAACATACAGATGTGAACTGTCCCCGGGTATCATGGTCATGGTGGAGTACCCTGCACCCCTCTCCCACACACGCAATGAACCGTCCCACGATGTGCCGTTACTGTAGCTCCATCGTAACGTCATCTTTTCACCTGAAACAACATTCAGATTGTTATTCGTCCATATCTGTCCTTGACAATCAAAATGATCTAGCCTGGTTACCAGGCCTATTTTGGTTCCCGAGTCTATATCTTCTCCGCAGATAGTTTTTGTGGAGAGGTGAGGATATAGACTCGGGAGCTAAACTAGGCCTAGTAATGCTGAGGTCACAATTCCCACACGGGACCCGGCCGGGCAGCTTTTGGGAACGAAAAATACGATATAAAAGACAACAAAACACAGAAAAGTTCCTACTAACAATCATGGCAACTATTTCTGTATATTCCTGATATGAAATGTTAAATTTTCATTCATACAAACAGCCCGGCCGGGCCCCGGTTTGGAAATGTGACCTAAGCATAACCAGGCTATAACTGATCTCACACGATAACAAATGTTGTCATTTGTTTTCACTAATGATGACGGCGAAATTCCAATTCTAAACTTAAGTTAGCTTCGGTTACTATGGTATATCATACTTTTGTCTGTAAATGCAATCGTTGGCCATTTCAAACGTTTAACCTGCCAGATCATCTCGATATATAATATCAGCTTTTAAAGAAGTCTTGTCATCAATGCAATATATTTGAATTCCAAATGTATGCAGTTTGGAAGTGCTACTCCTCAGTATGCACTTTGGAAGTGCTACTCCTCAGTAACAAATGCATATTACAGATAGCAAGGTTCCTGAGTTCTCTATACTCACGGTGAGTTTTACTGTCCGGTCCCGTGTAGTACATGACGCCGTGGCTGTACCACAGTCCGGACGCGATGCGCGGTTCTATCAGGGTGCCGTCGAAGTACATGGTACGGTAGGACAGCGTCTCCCCGCCGTCGTAACTGCGCATGACCATCTTACAGTGGCAGCGGTAGCGACCGTGGTTACGCAGGATGACGTGGATAGTTCCATCCGGGAGCTCTACGGGCTGTGTGGAGGAAGAGATAATGTTTATCTCTAGGGACCAGAAAGGAGAGACAAAACGCACTGCAAAGAGAGTGCGCAAACTATCAAAATGCACCGCCTTTTTTTCACCCCACGCACGAACCTTTGAGTTTAATGTTCATTCGTTTAGACTGTGCTCTTGGGAAAGACACTGCCCACTGCGGGCTTTTCGGCTAATCGTTAATACGATAACTGTCCAACCACTGTTGAGGATACATGCGGATTTGGTGTCGCCAATGTGTCAAGATCTGCAAATTTGCCACTAAGAACCGTACAATTTCGTAAACTTGTAAAACGGCACCAAAAACTTTGAAGCCTAAGAGTCTTGATGATACTATTAAAGGAAAAAAGATAATGCTTATTTTCTTTAGCAGATGAAGCATGATAGGAATCGTGATATTCCATCAAACTGTACATCATAATGTCCCAACCAGGCTGTCAAAATGTTGATAGAGGACACTACGATCTTTTCGATTTTCTCTCAACATCTGCTTGGAGATCAGACATTTATGATAAAACTAAAACTCACCTGACACTCATCCGGATGGAACTCGGAGTCACGTGTCCCTTTGAACGGAATAGCGGACACGAAGGCTCCGCCCCTCCACGTCACGCCGTGGTCGTCGCTTAGCAACAACAGCGACCCCGCCCCTCCCGGCATTCCGTGCCCGCAGACGACCAGTCTGCCTTTTGCCGGGCCAACTTTTTTCTGTGATGACGATTGAAAATTTCTCAGTTGTTATTCAGCAATTAACCTACAAAAATTTAAAAATGCATCTACCATGTAGAGTACTTTCATGTCTTCTTAGTTTTAAGATATTAGTGGTCGAAATATTAGCAACAAAGATTATTCTGGGCAAGAACTTTACCAACTACTCGTCAGCCTTGAAAGTGCTGAAACTCCAAACACTTGAAGACCGAAGAGTCGCTCTGTGTGCTAAGTTCGCCAAGAAGGTATACAACTCCGATCTGTACAGTCACTGGTTGCCAGAACATAGAGGTAACATTAGCGGCAGGGTGACCAGACAGAACAGAAAGATTGACCAGTTGCCAGCAAGAACCGACCGTTATAGAAAGAGCTCCATCCCATACTTTGTCACACTGTTGAACAACTCTGTATAGTAGGGTATCCGTAGAGTCCTTTTGTGCTTACAGGTTGAATTCATTGTCCTTGCATTTAGTGTTATTGTATATACTTTACTAGTTTTTAAAAGTAAATAAGCTAGGGTTTTAAACAGTTGCGGCATCATGATTTTAATAAGTAATATGTAATATGTGCACGCAATTCAGCCTGTGGCTGCGATGTGAAACATACCAATTGTACTGTTTATTGTATTTGTGAAATAAACCAATATATAAAATTATCATAACAGTTAACGTTATACAAGAACTTTATTGCACGACAATTGTACAGGGTACATTGTATGGTTATATGTGTCCTGCTGTTTTATTTGCACCCGCCACGTGATTTCCTTTTGATTTAAAATTTTCAATAATGGACAAAAAAGGACAAAAGGAGACGAAAAAAATTCTAGGTCACGTCTAGAAATAAAATCACTAAAAATACACCACTGCAATAATACAAACTCAACTTTGTCTCTTCGTCGGCTACATGCATAGCTATAAACTTCTCACCTGAATACCGTACCCAGGGCTGGGGTGTGTGACCATGTCCGACCCCACCAGTGAGGTGATGTTCCTGGGCTGGCCCCAGGTCTGCCCGTCATCCGTACTGTTGATGAGTAACAGGGACCTGTGCTTACAGTTCTCACAATACACAAACATCACGAAGATGGTGGCGGTGGTGTTGTCCACGATCACACTGCCCACGTTCAGACCGACACGCCCCTCACCGTCATCTACTACAAACGCAGTCGGCGACCAGGTCATGCCTGGAAGAGACATAACAAAGTGCTGTTTGTATAAGACATATATATATAGAGGGAGACAGGTTCTTAGCACCCATGCATTGTAGTGTTCTACTAAATTTCAGACCTACAGTAAGTGACACTCGGTAGCTCTCTTCATACGAGAATCAAAGAAAAGTAATCAATGCAATTAGATGCTGAACTATGAACACCACCATCATTATATGGTGGTTGGTATTATTCTTTACTTTCTCCATTTTTCTTCGTTCCCTTAAGAGCATATCCATTATCCGACCGTTGTCATGATTCATATTGTCTAAAGTTTGGACTGTTATCTTCCTGTATTAGAACGTTTGGCTCTCCAGAAACTCAGACTCTTATACATACACATGTAAAATTCCACGCTCTCATAATAAAACACATTTTCTTTACTCGCATAGATAATCACTTTGTGAACTGCCATGTACATGTGTGTATTCTTATGTTCCCTGTCTTGGTAGTTTTGTCTCTTACCTTTATCTGTAGACCTTCTGACGGCGATAAACTTGGGCCCCATGTCGGCGGAGGCATACTTCCGGGCTCCGTTGAAGGCGACGAGGTTGCCCTGGGGGGTGTAGGTGAGGAGGGGGGTCCTGTACAAGTGCACCTCCCCCTCCTTACCGCTACTCCACAGGACCGTCTGGTTCACAACCTTCGGGGACACCTGCAGATTAATCAGTCAGTCAGTCAGTAAATCCATCTACGTATCAAGTTGTGCAATTACCAATCAGTAAATCTACCATAGCATCTGTACAGGAATTGCTCGCATGGGGAAGGGAAAGGAAGGGGAAGTGTGCTGACGGCCGCATCCGCGGTATGCCACTGACCTACTCTCCAAGCAGAGGTTGGAGGGAAGACCTTTCTATTATATGCCCCGTTTAATTCGCTACCCCCACCAACGTAGCGACAGAAACACGGGACATATGATAGAAAGGTCACAATCTTCCTCCACCAACCTCTGCTTGAAGAATACTACTGACCCGTATTAGAATGGATCGTCGACATGTCAACAATACCCACCGTCATGGAACAATGCCCTGATACGAACCCGTCCCTTTTCTGTGAAAAACTCAGCGAAGAACGTGGGATTTCCTCACCTTGGGGGACGCCGTCTGCAAGTTCGACAGCAGAACCGTCACAACCGACGTCATGAACCACATCCTGGACGTCTGCCGGCCGGCGTTTCATTCATTCATTCAGTTCTGAGATTCACTCGTGAGTAGGGAGGGGTCATCTTTTGTTCAGTGTGACGTACCGAGCCATTGTTGTGTTGGAATGTTCCACTTTTGATAAAGACGTAAGGCAAGACCTGAATCTCGTTCTCAAGTTATCACTCTAATTCTGAAGACCGTTCGTAAATTTGAAAGAAATTTAATCCTAGAACATTTTTACGAGAGCAAAAGAAGACTACAGAAGAAGAACACAAGAAAAGCAGAACCTTCGACACGCACCTTTCTGTAAGTGCAGTGGACCGGCCTTAATCCAACAGGCCTTACCTGCCCTACCTGTCGAAGGTGAAAGGTTAAGTTTGTTTATGTGGACAATATGGCACGTCTTGGATTCTCCACAGTGTTGGTCTGTGTGTCGGTCATGTGTGCGATCCTTGGAGTAGTGGACTCCCAACCAAAGGTAGGTTCATCAACTTCAGATATTTCGAAACGTTTCTTTGTATAACCGATGTTTTGCCTGAGGGGACAGGTGTGATTTTCACATCTGCACAATGTCCTTGAAACACTAACTTCGTGACGGCCTTCAGATTTCTCACACTTCATGCTGACGTTACACACAATTTCAACGGCTTCACATGTGAACAACTCTCCTGAGATTCTGTTCTTTTTACAGTGTTTTGTGCCAATGGTAATTCATGGCGGTAGCCTAACAACAAAACATTTAGCCTGGTACAACAAGTTGTGTGGGAATAAACGTAGCGAAGATAATCCGCGTGTCCTTATATGTCCTTTGTTATCATTTCGACCATTCTATTTTGATGAAGCCCATTTCAAACTTCATATTCAGCATCACGAACATGACGAGAAGAAGCAGAACCTATGTACTTTTAGAATCCGTGATATAGATTTATTATTAGAAGTCCTGTCAATGGATTATTTTGCTACTACATGTTGTACATTGTACTTTTGTATTTGTTTACTTGTACTAGCCCGATAGGGCATGGATGCACAATGAAGCTTATCATCGATCATTGGTCATTATCCGCCATTAAGATATAGACTAATTCAAAGGTCATTGTCTTACACGTCTCATTGTTTAAAGTCTAATCTTTTTTAGCTCCCCCCTCCATGTATCTTTATTACTGAAACATTTTGTGTAACCCATAAATCGGGAGAAAACATGAGGTACTGCATGGTTACTCTAGTTACGGTTAAGATAACACAACAGGTATGATGCTTGACCGGCGACAGAAATACGATCCTGATCTAACATGACCTAGATACAACAATCCTATCGTTATGCAACACTGACAAAAATACACACCAGACAATCAAAATCATGACGTGAAAACATTCACGTGGTCTGTATGATATACAATGAGAACTAGTTTTATTTTCAAAAATCCGTAGTTACATGAAAATGTATAAACAACAGTTGCAGCCAACGTCTCTGAAGAATTTAGAAGGCACAGGATATGCCGTTATGCTGGCGACGCTAGTCAAGTAGTCTTAATATGTTTCATTTATACAATGATGACCATTATAAAATAGTGCTTCTAAATCTGTCTTCAGACATGTAGTGTGGGATGACTGTGCGATACAAAGGCTTTCTGTCATAGTCACCGTCCTTTGTCGACACTAGTACGTCTCTTGCATGTTGGCAAGACGTTTATTTTGTTCCACACCCTGTAGGTAAACCCGTTAGTGGTGTCGCAGCAGTTCCTGTGGGAGTCGAAGCGGTACACGTACCGGATCCCTGTCATCACCCAGACGCCAGGCGGCGCTCTTATCGCTCTCGCCGAGGGACGGAAGTACAACTCCGGAGACACTGGGTCAAAGGTCGTGGAAATCAGGCGATCAACAAACTTAGGTATGAAGTATTACAATTCTAATTACTGGAGGCTTATAGGAAAGTTTTTATAGGATTATATGAAGGCCTGATGTTGATCTTTAAAGTTGGTTGTCAGCATCCACACTGCTATTATTCCATAGCATTTTATAGCATTAATTGTTTGCCAGCTTGCTTAAGCAATTATTAACGATAAAGACAAGTTTGAGAAATCATAATCCATAAGCAGGTCTTTTCATTGCCAGACAGTTACCATTTGCCACCCTATGTAGGCTGGCGTAACAAAAAGATACTAGCAAAGAAAAGTGAGCCCGATAAAAACGCTTAAAAAGACGCCAAACATAAGCCGAAGCCCGAACCTCTGCTTGGAGAGTAGAGAAATCAAGGAAAGAAACTCTTTCAAGTAATCCGTCATCGAATCGTCTTTGTGGCCCATGGGTGTGTCCACCTGTTGGAGAGTGAGTGAGTGAGTGAGTGAGTGAGTGAGTGAGTGAGTGAGTGAGTGAGTGAGTGAGTGAGTGGGTGGGTGAGTGTTTTAAAAGTATTAATCGCTCACTAGCTTGCTTGGTTTGCAACGAAAAAGACGTCGAGAGTAACCCGTAGAATCGGTTTTTGTCGCCCGTATAGGCTCCACCTGGTCCCCTCCCGTCACCATCCTGACCGACACACAGTTCAAGAAAGGCGTGAACCTGGGGACGGTCATCGTCAGTAACGACACGGGAGTCATCTTCATGTGGTTCGAGCACTGTATGGATGAGCAGCATGCGTGCGACAGGTACTTCAACATTTATTTTATCGATCTGATACAGCTGTAGCCTCTGCCAGGCTCCGGGAAGCGGCTGGAAAGAGTCGAAATTTGATAGATAGACAGACGATATGCCAGGGGAGTTGGCCTGCTCCCGGGAGGGGCAACTGTTCTCGTATCGCAGACCAACTCCCCCGGCATATCATCTGTCCATTTGATCAATTTCTACTCTTTCGAGCCGCTTCCCGAAGCCTGATAGAAGCCAACAAAAAGTGACCGCTATGGCCAGGTAACCACTAAGAAAATGTGACCGCTAGTATAGGTTTGACTGTGCTTTATGTCATACACAGCTAAGGACCGCAAATAAAGGGCGGACGTCGTTCCAACCTTCGTTCGTCGAAAGCTAAGACAAGAGAACAACGCCTAAAACGCTTGACCTTAGCATTGCAGCTGTGACTGTAGCTACATGCAGTCATATAGAATGTCTTTCCCACCAGATCTACACCTTTTCTGATGAACAGTACGGATGACGGGCTGACGTGGAACAAGCCCCGGGACATGTCCGGCGTCGTCGGCGGCGCTAAAAAGTTTGTCACGGGGCCAGGACTGGGTATCCAGGTCAGTCTCACGTCTCCATAATGACTAGTGTACATGATTAGGGCGTTATGATCTTCCTTCTCTGTATCTTCTTGGAGATTAAAGCTGTGTAATGACCTACACCCTCTCTTAGCCTCCACTAGCTCTTCCGAATTACGCGAAAGATCCCTCCATACTTAGATACCGAAAAGAGTAGGGGTCCTTCCTAGTGTGAGTGGATCAAAACCTTACAGTATCTAGCAGATTCATCGACAGAGTGATAATGACTGCCTGAAACCAAAGAGGAAGATCTAGAAGAAGTTTTCTACTCCCTGCCTTACAGAAGAAGCTGCTTCCCTACAAAGGCCGGCTGATAACCTGCGGACACGGCGACCACCTGTCGGACGGCGTGTTCTGTGTGGTGAGCGACGACAACGGCGCCTCCTGGCGGATGGCGGGGGAGATGCAGAGCATACCGTTCGGCAGGAAAAAACTAGACGGAGATTTTAACCCAGACGAAAGTCAGGTCAGTCCTCGTTCCTTGTTTCTTTTAACGTAAAATATTGATATTACGTGCCCAAAGAAGAAAAGATGACTGGTCTTTTAATTCATTGCCAATACTTGTTTCGCGTTTGTATCTGGTATAATTTGAGTCCGATGGACTTACACAGATTTTCGGCAGTCTTTTGCACAACGTTTCATTGAGAATTGTTGCCATAGATATCACAAAAGATCGGGAAGGCTCATTTTTACATGAACCCAAACGCCAGATCCTTAACATCTCAAATCTGTTTGTTTGTTTGTTTGTTTATTTATTTGTTTATTTATTTTTTTGTCTCAGATTGTGGAGCTCCCAGACGGCTCCCTGATGGTGAACATGCGCAACCAGCTCCACTACCACTGCCGCTGCCGCGCGGTCATGCGCAGTACGGACGGAGGGGAGACCTTCCCTCTGAGGCAGCTGTACATGGACGACACGCTGGTGGACTCGGCTGTCCAGGCCAGCATGCTGTTCCACAGGGGCGTGCTGTTCTTCGCTAACCCAGCGAGCCCAACTACACGTAAGGATCAGAATGGATACATTTCTGACGATATGTACTTCTAAAGGCGTAAAGGTCTGAAACGATAATCATGTATAGAGACATGTTTGTCAGTGAACTTTAGTCTTTTTCGTCCATGGTGCGTGAGACAAAGTACTGCTGAAGCTGCGAGTACCATTCTTGATATCCTCGAAGTGTCGTCCAAAATACAGTAACATGTAGTGATGTAAAATTTTCCTTGCGTTCAGTTAAAGTCTTCCTTACTGTTATGTTCTTGATTTACAGACTCCTTTAAGTCATCTGCATGTACTTATATCTGCCTCCTTTTCAGGTGAAGACTTCAAACTCCGCTGGAGCCTTGACAACGGCACGACCTGGCCGGGGCTGAAGACGCTGTGGACTAAGTCTGCCGGATACTCCTGCATGACAGTACACGACTCGGTAGACGGCGCTTTTCTATTCATCTTGTACGAGAAAGGAACGACGAGCGACTATCAGTGGATCGAAGTGATGAAGCTCAGTATTTATGGCCACCTTTGACGTTGATGTAAATAAAAGTGCACTATGTATAGGTTTATAATAGGAAAGTTAAAGAAAGCAACGTATACATGTAAAGAACACTTTGGTAGGAGTATATGATGTACATCAGTGTGTGCAGAAAGTCCCTCCCACCGAATCCCGTAGCTAGAGTTACCAGACTGATTGTTGTTCCACCCACAGTTTGTTTTTTCCGTTTTAGAAGTTCAGTCTCCCGGTAGAAACAGAAGAAGGCGGTCCGGAAGCGAGTGTCTGAGGCGGGAGCTACTGGTTCTTAATCGTTCTGTGCCCTCCCCATGACCCGGTGAAAAAAAAAAACTAGCCTCTACCAGGCTCCGCCCCCTGGGTTGCTGGAAAATGCAGTAGTAGAAATTGGCCCAAGAGACTGAATAGAAGGCTAGGAGGTCCGATTCGCAGTCCGTGGTTGCGAATTGGATCTTCTATTAACCCGGCTCTTCTGGTATGCTATTCAGTCTATTTGGCCGATTTCTACTATTTTTCCAGTAACACGAGGAGCATGGTAGAGGCTCAGATGAAAACAGTCACTGCTACTCACGTATTGGAGCTGATCCGCTCTAGGTAAAATACATATGTATGGCTTGATAAGTCCAAATTTTATCAACAGCATCAGCACCAAATTTTTATCAATAGCAAACCTTGTCTATCACGTAAACCCATAGATCTAGCAATACATGTGAAAATAGAGCTACGGGAGAAGGCAATACAATGCAATGCAACAAGAGAAAATGTCGTTTATGTTACTTTTCTAACATATCTAGACATATCTATAATTGTATCTTATTGTACCTTTCTCATTTAACATGAATTGCTTCAGCGAGAAGTACACAGTCTTGCAAGGGAAAACCAATGGGTCGCCATGAAGTGCGGGTTTTATGTTGCCCTAGCTAAACTTCACGTCCTGTCCTGTAACTTTTCGGCCGTCCTGCGAGTTCTCCTACCCCGGTCCGGTCGTTGAACCACACTGCGACTGACGCAGATGTCATGTGAAGATGTTTTCGGCTGCTTTACAAATATTGATCTGTCGTCTGACGGAGGGACGTGTGGAGTGCGCACCTGTGAGAATAACGTCCTCCGCGCTCCTGTCGACCCACATATGTCACGGTGCGACAGTCTAGTGTTTACCTAGTCCCTACCAGTTATACGCACAGGCTGCAGGATTCTTCATAGGGTCACCAATTGCAATCTCCAAGTAAATGCTTCGAAGAGAATATTGGAACATTTTCTTGCTGCTTTTTTTCATATTTTCACTAGCCTCTGTCAGGCATCGGGGATCGCTGAAAATAAATGTAAAAATTGGCCAAAATAAAGGGAATAGTATACCAGATGAGTTAGCCGGCCTACATTTTGCCGCAAAATGTACTCTCTAGCGGACCAACTCCCCTGGCATGTTATCTCTCTATTTGGCAAATTTCCACTCTTTCCAGCCGCCTCCCGAAGCCTGGCAGAGGCTAATTTTTCACCATTCTTAGACGAGCTGTACGTGTGTCAGAAAAGACAGAGCAGTCAAAAAAGTTATTCCCCCTTACATCTGCTTGGAGACTATTTTTAAAGACCACCTGTACCAAACATATGGACACCATTCAGGTTCAATCTGTCAACCCACAGCAATGGTTTAAGTCTCCCTTCATTTCGTTTACGGTAAGTAGAGATACTGTTATGGACACAGAGAAAACTAACCTCCCTGTGAACGCTACAACTGTCCCGATCGAAACGCTCACTATCTGTGAGACATTGGAAAATGATCTTTTGCTATGGTTACGTTCAGAAGCATCGACTTAGGGTGTCACAATTTGAAGGAAAAGTGAGAACTTGTTTGGTCAAGGGATGGGTTCCTGTTAGATGTCCAATTGCTGCAATACCCAGTGTTATGTATGAACGATAAGCTTTTAACAAAACAATTTTAGGTGAAACCGAAGAGTAAACTAAAGTGCAGATCCCATCAGAAAGGAATGCGTCCCTCGTGTAAAGTTTACTGTAAGCGAAGATGTATTTCCCAGACACTTGGAAGTTTAATGTCATGGTTGTTGATAGTTACACAGTCAACCTGACATTTTCTTAACCTACAGTATACAAGAAGGCGAACCTTTGATGAAAATACCAATGGTGAGAGAACGTACGGAGAACCTACATACGGGAGTGTGATCATGCTATTACCTTGTAAATTCACAGAACGAATCCTACAAATAGATTTTTCCTGGATCGACCTCTTTTATCGACACTTAAATACAGTAGTACATTATTTTGTCTTGGTTGGGAAACTTGTTGAAATTTAGGTGGTCCTCATCTGGGTCAGTTCAAACCAACTTGTGTAAAATCACAAATTTCTTTTCCCGTCTCTGCCTTTTCAAAGATGCCCGCCGATCAGATAACACTTGTTTCACAACATGTCTCTATGAATAAATTGCCAGAGGAAAAAGCAAACATCGCGCTGCTACATTGCAGGGCATTTCCTCTGCTTCCTGGGAGAACGGTAGCCTCTACCAGGCTTCGGGAGGCGGATGGAAAGAGTAGAAATTGGCCACATAATAGAGAGAGAGAGATAACATGGCAAAAGATACATTTTGCCGTAAACTGAACTTTCTAGCAGACCAACTCCCCTGGCATGTTATCGCTCTCTATCAGTCAATTTCTACTCTCTCCAGCCACCTCATGAGCTCAGCGAAGCCTGGTAAGCGAAGCCTGGTAGAGGCTAGGAGAACCGTCCTCCATTCAGTCCCAGGATCGGACCGCAGACTGCGGACACTACAGACTACTATTTGCTTGGGGCGCTAGTCGTGTTCTGTTGCGATGTATTTTATTTACTCCGCTTGTTTCAGTGTTTGATCTTGCGGTGAGACGAAGGCCTGGGACGACAAACTAATATTGCTCCAAGACTGTAAACGCTGTTTTGATAAACCGACGAGTACTGTGGCTGCAGTTAGAGTGAAAAATTTCCGATGTTCTAGTACGCCATTGAGCAAGGAGGTTATATAAAAAAAGCGCTAGCATACTTACACCTACAGGCTTTATATTTTGGAGTAAAACTGGACCAATCACCGAAACACATCTGCTCTCATTGGATATACGTCAGCATCGGAAAAGAACGATATTTCACAGTGAGGCCCGACATAGATGGGTGACATTGATGTCGTCATTCCTGTTTTGTATAGAGCTGATGTTGGGAGGGAAAATCTTATAATTTCTGACCGCTCCCTACTTCTGACATATAGTACTGACTGTTGAACAAACGGAGCGTGGACAATCTCAAAATCAGACGGCTTTCCCTTACAACATCTACTTGTATACCATGAGAAGATCCCATCAAGAGACTTTGGGTATGCAGTCTATCAGTATCAGGTCTTGTTGTGGCTTCCCTTGCTTATGTTGTGGCTTCAAATCTTTGCCAGTTTGGCCTTCGACCGTCGATAGTAAAGTAGAAGTTTATAATATCAGATTCTGATTGTTTTTCTGACAGTGCCAGGCAAGACCCAGGTATCAGTGGACCCGCGGTGCCGTTCCGAAAACATGTCATGGAAGGATATACCACGTGTCTCTCGTCATATTCCTTCATCTTGCATGGTGTGTACGTTATATCTGTCTTAGGGGAAAAATTAATGGCCTCAGCAACATCTTGTTGCAATAGACTGAAGGGAAAATTAATAACAAGGGTTAGTCTTGGCACAGGTAGTAAAGATTGTGGCCAACAACCACAATAGAAAAAGACGTTCCCTGTGTCAACCCACTTGAATAGTGAATAAAATGAGACCGTTCCCATGGAAACCAGCGGTAGGACAGTCTAAGGTATCTCTTTTACACCCCCCGTGGAGCCCTAAATGATGGGTCATAGGTCAGACTACTGTAGATACCTGCCCCGTGTGCCCGGCACGCACAGAGCGCACAGTCGCCGTCTGGACAGGACTGAGGCTGCCCGTCTGTTTGTTTCTTCTACTTGAAGGAGCGTGCGGGAAGTCGGCAAGTTCCCGTCAAGGCTGAGAAACATTCAGTCTCGTCTGCGACACCTGTCACGGCGAGCTGCGCCGGCGTCGACGACAGATATCGTGCACGAGAGGTGGAGACCACCAACGTCCTTCCATCCATTCAGGCCCCAGTCTTGGGCGGACTGTTACAGAGAAGTTGCGGACCGCACAACACAACCGTCGGAGTCGGGAGACACTGGAAGACGCCGACGTACTGAGCCTTATAACTAGGTAGGCAAAATCATTTTTTCTGCACTGATCATAAAAGTATGAGCTGAATGCTTGTAGGGTCTAAGCAAGTTGAAGTCAAGTGGATGAAATCGCGTTTTGTGGACTCAAAAGTAACGCAGCCTTGCTTCTCTCGCTCTAAAGAAAGAAAGATATGTTTCTCACACAGGCGACACAAGTTTTTTCCTACGACTATTTGTTAGTCGTCATTCAAGAAGTTTAGGTATTTATTGTGACTAGTACACTTGCACTTCCCTTGGTTCTAGAAACAAGATTCCTCATCTCAGTTTGCGATGTTTGTCAATATTGCCCGACCCTACATGCTACACCAAGAGGGTGGGAAGAAGGTTGGGAATAGAAACCCATGCTTCTCACAGCATATGACAAGGAGACCATTGTTTGAGGCAATCACTGTACATTTCGTCGTCATGTTGTGTGTATGTCCTCTGCCCCCTCCCCTTGTCCCGTGAATGCCACCAATTTTCCCATCCTTTAGAGACCCACCAGGCATCCGTTTTCTGCATGATTAAGCGCACAAATTAATAGATAAACTATTACATGGCTGAACGGATGGATTATAGAACGCTACGTGATGTTTACTGTTCTATGGCAAGTTGCATTGAACGCCTAGGACAAAATACTAGTATGGCGCGAAGTGGTAGGAAGCCTGGCCTGCCAATGATTGTAGGAAGCCCAACAGCGACGTACATATCCTTCAGTTGCCTTGGCAACGATATAGTTACGAGGTGTGTACAGATTAGCTCGTAAATGACAGAGATCTCTCTCCTTTTTATCTGTTTTCGTGGTTCGAGTGGCTGCTGTTGCCTTGTAGGACAACTGTGCCTGGATGAGCGCTTTTCTCTCTCGCCCTAGCCTCCTTGGCAGACTTTTCTCGCGGCTTACCATTTCTTTTTCCGGGGTAGAGCTATTTTGCAGGGATAGCTGTATCGGCAGCCCGGTACAGCTTTCCCACGATACAGCCCTATCAACGACACAGCTCTCCTATGCCCTGGGAAAAGAACCGCCGCCCTCACAGAAACAAACACAAGCCGAAAAGCCTGAGCGGGAGGCTACATGCACCTTGGCCCGTCAATCCCCCTTTCTCGTATCTCAGAGAATGAAGTCTAAAGAGAACCTCCCGCCGCATCAGCCCAGATTTCCCCCGTTCGGACGACAGTTATTGTGTTTATCTATAAACATTGTCCGACTAGAGCCCACCCAGCTGTGTATACTACATTCTCAACAAAACATGTGGACCGGGAAAAAAGAGGTACAATGTTGCCTTCTGTTGTGGGAATAATTCATGTATGGGA